CAAAACAAAACAAAAAAAAACATTCTAAGTGAGGAATAAGCAATGATTTTGCTAAATACATCCACTAAGCTGCTATGTAATAACGTAGGTCTATAGATTCTTATATAAAAATCGCTAATTTTTATACTCCCAGGTAGGAAAATAGCTACATGAAAACAATAGACTTATTCTGCTTAAGACAAAATACTAAGTACCGTGTAAATTATTTTAGTAACCAACAAGACATGCAGCGTACCTGTTTGATGGGCTCTGCTATTAAACAGCCCACTACTTTCTTTTCATCAATGAAGAGGAAAGTTTTGGTTTTGTTTGGACACATGGGAACAACCTGATGGAAGCCCAATTCCAGATCCACAAGCTCTTGGACATCTTCTACCTAACAATGGTAAAGAGCAGAAGGTGAATTTGTCTTAAAAATCACAACGAAACTAAATTTGTGTATACTCTCACAAACACGATCCCCATCATTTTGCTTCTTTTATTTCTATTTCTTTAATTTATATACATTCAAACTTGTTTCAGAATCAATGCACACACCTGGTACTTGGGAAAAAGTGCTTAAGAAACCACTTAAAAGAACACTTAACAAACACTCAGAATCCTAGGAGAGAGGGCAGAGGCCAGGCAGACTTTTAGCTTTATTTATTATTCCAGTTGGCAACATTCAACTCAGAAACAGAAGCAGCACCAACTGAGAACTAACACACCCGACCTGGACACTGTATGAGCCACTATGAACTGCGAACGCCTAGGCCTATGCAACAAGGAAGGCAGTTGGCAAACCATTCACACTTCACTATGGTGGGTTTGAGTGAGGAGAGAGGGAGAAAAATAATCCCATACCTTTTTGATTGCATAACTTGGATCCTGTGGCAGGACCAACACAATCTTCCCATCCCAAAACTGTGCTACTACCCGCTCTCTTTTCCAGCCCTGCCGAAGTGGGGAAAGAGAAAAAAATTATTAATTTGTAAACAAACACATAAAATACTTTGGTGTGGAGAAGACTGGTCACGGTGGAACAATGAGTGACAGGAAAGGCAAGATGGAGATTCTGGCCTTGACCACTCACAGTGTAGACAAAGGGTGCTTAGCCTTAATCAGAGACAATTCTCTCTGTGGTGAGTGGCAGAAAATACTCATGGCTGTTCAAAGTGCTGAAAACAAGCTTTTAGCCCTAACATGACATTTATTCCATTCCTTCTAAGACTCAGAGAACATCACAGAAGAGAGAAAATAGAGCCAGAAGACAGGCAGCAGGGCTGCGAAGCGCCATCTTGTGGGCATGATGCAGCAACTGCAATCCTGAACTCACTGGACCTGAGTAAGATCTGCTAAATTTTGAGTAGGAGGAGGGGGGAGGCAGCAAGCTAAGTCCCAGGAAGTGAAAGATCACAAAGAGAGGATACAAATGGACTAGAGAGAGATAAACCCAGGTAATTCTGAGACCCAAATGTTCCCTACCTTTCAGCAACTCAGCACAGGCCTGATCCTATATTGCACTTGAATACTTGTACCCTGCTGATAGCACTGTTTGAGGTTATAAAACCTTTGGGAGATGGAGTTTAGATGGAGAAGAAAGTGGGCTACTGGGGGTACTTTTCTAGTTGGGTTCCATTTCCTGTTCACTCTCTGCTTCCTGAACATAGATAACAATGTTACCAGATGGCCTCCTGCTCCTGCTACCATGCCAGAAGCTATGTCTTCATGATGGTGGGATAATTCCCTTCAACTATAATCCATAAAAACCCTTCCCTGTTTAAATTAATTCCTATCAAATATTTTGTCACAGTAGAGAGAAAAGTAATTGGTTTTACACAAAGGAATGTGGAAACTCTCATTCATGTATTCAAATCTCCTTTAGTGTTTCTGCCCACGTCCCTCTCAGTGTTTAACCCTTACAGGGATACAGTCCTCAAAAGCCTACTGATTGTGCTAAGTTATTTCTCTGCTCCCATGGTTTCTGTCGGTGAACCTTCTCCATGCGTGTGACAAACATGCACTGGCGATGTCCTTATACTTTTGCCCCATATGTGAAAAGAGTACATGTTCATTGTTTTACCACTCTAATTCAATATCCCGCAGAGTGCAGGGTTTACCTAATCCACTATACCGGGACTGTGGAATCTGAAGCAGCTTTACTTACAACCTACCAGGCTTAGTTACAGCTTCCGTCATATGTGCTTAGTGTATGCAAGGGCCGTCCTCGATGCCTGGCACTGAAGGATAACAAACAAAGCTAACTTTTTAATATCATCAGTTATTTTTATTTCTTAGGGTTGTGTATGTGCCAGTCAGAAGAGGATATTATGTGCCCTGCTCTTTCATTCTCTTCCTCCCTGAATCTGTAACCCAGAAATCCTTTCCCACACTCCCTACAGCCCTGGGGTTCTAGGCTCCTATGTAGTCACACCTGGTGCAGCAACTACTCTTCCCCTCAACCTTCCTAATGCTGCAACACTTCCAGACAGTTCTGCAGGTGTGGTGACCCCAACCTCACGATTCTCCTGTCTCAACCTCTTCCCAAATTCAGGGATCACAGGTGGGAGCTAAGATGCCTGACTAACCTCTGCTGCAAGTAGTGAAATATTTATGGATATATAGATTTCCCAACAATGGCACAAACTGCCTTCCATACAGTTTTACCCGTAGAACAAACCGAAAGCCTTCTCGACTCACCACATATTTAATTCCCTCCAGAAACCTGTGGTGATGCTGGAGATGCTGCATTTCGTCTTCAGGGTTGGAAGCAGTATAGATCATGCCGCAAGACTTACATATCGTCATCCCAAAATGTTTCTGACCCGCGTCCTTGAAGAACAAGCAAACAAACAAAAGCATAAACCCCAAGAAGTGGGTGAACAATGGATCTTTTTTTAAATTATTTTTATCATTTTATGTGCATTGGTGTTTTGCCTGCGTGTATGTCTGTGTGAAGGTGTCAGATCTTGGAGTTACAGACAGTTGTGAGCTGCCATGTGGGTGCTGGGATTTGAACCCAGGTCCTTTGGAAGAACAGTCAGTACTCTTTACTGAGCCATCTCTGCAGGCCCACAGTGGACTTTCTTTAGGAAGGACATGAAAGAGCAAGAAAAAGCAAAAGCCTCATTTCAAAGAGAAGGAACAACATTCTCAGACTTCTGTATTAATCATTGCTTTGTCTTGAGTCATTTAGAGTGTTAAATTCTTTATTCTTAAATACTAAAATGTTCTGCATCAAGAATTGATAAAGTTCTATAAATTTCACTCTCTTAAAGCATTGTGTTTAATGCCCTTGAAAATACTAGACTCTGGGGCTGGAGAGATGGCTCAGTGGTTAAGAGCATTGCCTGCTCTTCCAAAGGTCCTGAGTTCAATTCCCGGCAACCACATGGTGGCTCACAACCATCTGTAATGAGGTCTGGTGCCCTCTTCTGGCCTGCAGATATACACACAGACAGAATATTGTATACATAATAAATAA